ACTTTTCATACGACCTATGGATTTGATTTCAAAAATTTGACAAATTTATGAAATTCTACTTTAATAACACGTTAGTAAGACTTGTTTCAAACACTGAATGTGAACTGAAAACCCCTTTACTGCGGTATGATTCACTCATCTCAAAATACCACTAACATATTAGACAGCATTATTGGCGGGGTATTTTACTAGATCAAGACATATAAGTGAACAGTATTGTTGTTTTCAATTGGATCTACTTCTTCAGGTTTTACTCTAATCTATACGTAAAAAATTAAACCAATGACGGTGAGTTTGTGGATCAAATAGTAATAATGATAATAACAACGAGTGTTAGATGTTTTGAACGTCAGTGATAACGATGATTATAATGATAGAAAACTTAATAACAATAAGGCTTATGAAGGTAGTGATAAGAATAACAAAGATGGCAATATGTGTATATGTAGACAATTCAATAAATAAATAAATTAGGTCAAATCTTAAAAGTTACGTAATACTAAAGGTGGTGAAGTGGACAGATAATCAGAGTTTTTGAATAAATGTCATAAGAGTATTAAGGAAATGGAAAGTAAGAAAGTGCGGGGGGAGGGGGAGGGTTTAATTAGACTTTAACTAGGTCGAGAGAGAGACTAAAGTAGTACAAACTTCTTTTGTTGTATGCAAAGACTACGATTGTTCTGTCGAATTCCCATAGATTCGGCTATGTGTCAAAGGCGGGTTCGATTTCCGTTCGAAAGTTTCGAAAGTGGAATGTGATAGATAACTTCGAAGGCACTTCTTCTTCTCCTGTCCACTTGGTGACAGCTGTTGTCAGTCAACTGAGACAGAATACTACTTCTTACAGATTTTAATTGGCCTTTACCAAACCAAGAAGGGAGATGCTCATTAGTGCGTTTGTTAAGCTGTCTAGTTGTTCACCCTATATAGCTTTCTCCACTGGAGCAGCTAGATTTGTAGATGCACATTGAGGGGACACAGCTAGGCAACTTGTCTTTTACTTGAACGATCATAATTGGTCAACTGGGAAATGTCAGACAAAGGGTGGTGGTGGTATAAGTCCGTTTTATGCCTATAGACAATCTTAGATGTAGAAATTCACCAGCCACATCCTCGTTAAACTGCAGTTTGAGGAACAGTTGTTTCTTTTTAACTGGTGCCAGGTTCTCCTAATAATACCTGGTGTTCATATGTCTCCACACAAATCTTCTAGGATAACCCATTTGGATCAGAGTGTTTGATGTGTTTCCTGATGCATTTCTAGGGAGTCATCTGTACAGATCCTACTTACTCTATTCGTCAGGTATCTGACCAAACTGACTTTTTATCGGATTGGTACAAACTTGAAGGAATGTGTATACTGACCTACAGATGTAGGTTTCCCACACACATATAACTTGAGTGAACTATCTGTTCTCTTTTCTGCTCAAATGAACATCAAGGAAGTGTAGTCTACCATCACGTTCTTCTTCACAAGTGAACACGAGCGATGGTTTTGCATCATTAAACTTTTTTAACATTTCATTCTTGTCAGTGTTCTCATCAAGAATATTAAACGTATCAACAACATAACGAAAATAAGAATCCGTTTTATCTATTACTTGTTTCAATGGACTATTTTCAAGCTTAGCAAGAAAGAAATCTACCTGATCTGGGCTTAATGGAAAACCCATGGCAATGCTGTCGATTTGTCGGTAACAAAGGTGTCTGTTGAATATGAATTTTACATTTATAGCAGCTCCTTAAGACTTATAATTACATTTCCGATATCAAACTGCTTTCCTCATATTTGTTGGTTTATGAATTTCACAGTCTCCACATAAGTGGTAAATTGGCATTTGCTTACCACTTACATTGACATAATTTACGTTAGAAATGAATTCAAAGACATCTATAACATTATGATATACCACATTCTTATGCAACGGTTGAACGAACTCATCTAGACTCTTCAGAAATGTCTAGGACTCGGTGAAGAGGAATTCCTAGTTCATGTATTTTGACCAAACCATACAATCGTGAAGTATTACTTCCAGTAGGATTAGGATGGTTGTAGGCTGTCTCTGAGATTACGCTACTTTTCCTTAGGTGTTTAAGCGTGGTCGTTGGCTGCTTTTCAGCTACTCTTCTGTCTAGATCTGTTGAGCTGTTAAGCTTCCGGAATTTCAATTCATCGGTTAGAAGCGAGGTGGTTTTGTAAACGTACTCACACTTATTCATCAGTACTACTCCGGCTCCTTTATCAGGCCTGTTGATTCTAATGTCTTCATTGTTCCTTAAAACTTTGTGAGATTGAAAATGTAATTCAAGTACAACGTCGACATCTTGGAGTTTCAAAAGGAATTCAGAGAAACCAGCAGCACCAAGTAACAGCAAATATAGTATATATATAGGAATAAAACAATTCCAACAGTGGTGTGAACACGGGCAGTAATTTTGCTCGAAATATTACCAATAACAAAACTTATCATTGTGTGTAAACTATTCAAATATAATTATACTTTATTTAATCTAATCCACAATGCTCAAACTTTTTACTGATATTAACAGCAAATATATTTCATCATATTACAATGTTATTAGAAAATGTGTGACCCCTACCACAGTGTGGGTGTGGTGATAAGGACATAGGCTTTGGCCTGTGTTAAGAAACACACCCAAAATTAATCGGTCGTGACATCTTCCGGCGTCCCGGCACCGCGAAAGATAGTCACGCACATGGGTCGTGGTATTTACTGTAGCCATTTTGTCGATTGGGTTAAAAATTTCCTGTGACACAGGTTCAAAACCGAAACGCAATAACATAAAGGACATTACCAACATCCATCCACCTCAACTGCACAACACCATCACTACCACACCAAGCATTACACAACGGTTTGAGGCAAATCATGTATAATATGACCACAGGATGATTACTGTATTCGATATAAACCCATTCACACCATCAGACTTACTTTGTAGTGAATTCAAGAAGTCACGAGAGGGTATATATGAAGTGCTCGTAGTACTGGTGAATGTTTCAACTGCCCATTGGGTAGTAAATTGTAGTAAATGCTTCCACTTTATTCGCTGTATATTTCATACTACTTACTACCAATCAGTAGTATGACAGTAACTAGGAGATTAACTGTTATCCCAGAGGTATCAAACACTCATCTCTTATTAATCCCACATATTTCACAGAATTATTTCCAGTATCAGTTTAAATGTATCTTTGAATACTGGTCAGTTACCTTGATGATATCAATATTGTAAATAAAAACTTGTATTCTTTTGATGTGGATGGACTCCATATTCACTAATGTCCCTCTACTCAAAACAACTGACATTTTGTGTGATTACATTTCACCACACATCATTTGCTGGTCCAGTTCCCTATATTTTATTTAGAGCGTTCATTACTTCTATGTACCAGAAATGTTAGGCTTACATTTGAAGGTGACTGCTCCTGTCAGGTTGATGGTGTTTCTAAGGAAAGCTCGTTCACGATAAATTTAGCAGAAATCTATATGTTGAGCATTGAAAGTTTATCGGAAGATCTAATTGGAAATGTACCAGTTCGTAGAAGATATGTCGATGACATTCTGATGAACAGTGATAAGCCTTGTTCTGCCACTTCAATTTTAAATCGAATGAATGAAATTCAAAATAACATGTCAATTGTGTCTGTAGGAGAGGAAGATAATTGCTTATCTCTCCTAGATATATTGGTTGGTCGACAGACAGCCTCATGGATCAATAAAACTATCTGTTTACGGAATACCTACCTAGATAGGACAATATCTTAATTATCACAGTTTCTCATCTATTCGGCGCGAAAGAGCCTTGGTGAGATGCCTGTGTCAGTAGAATCCAACGAATATGCATAGAAGACACACTTAAAGATGAAGAGAGAAAACTGACACAAACCCCGGTTGATAATAATTATCCAGAGAAGTTCATTAGGAGGTCTGAAGTGGTCAGTGGAACACCAAGACCCATTCTCCAACTCGCCACTGTGAAAGACATTTATATCAAGCTACTGTATATAGGTGAATGTGAAGCTCATATATCCATGTGAGCACTTAGAACATACGAGAAATGTTGTCAGTTACCACTCTATCTACCAATTTAAATGTACCTATAGCCATACACATACACAGGGAGGATTCGTTGATGTTTGGACGTAAGGACTTCAGAGCACGTTCCTAAATGGCTTCAGAAGCAAATGGTTTCCCCTGAATTCATTACTTACGAGTATTGATGTATTATACAAACAGGACATAAAATTTATGTTTACACCTCCTTTATTCAACCTATCTATAAAACGTGTTTGAGACGTGCCCTAAAGTTTGTTGAAGCTGTAGAAATTAGGAAGTTTAAACCACCTTTGTGTGTTCTAAGAAACAATTCTTCATGACACTGTACCACCTTCCTTAGTAAACTTTATTTTGATACATACCAGGGCAGATGTACTATTACCTCCCTCTCGAATGTTATATTGACCTTCAATACTGCATCCTTTTAAATTGACAATCAACGTCTATTCGCTCACCACTCAACTAACGCTTGGTGACTGTGCGTCGGTGGCACAGTGGTTAGGACTCTCACCGACCATGCACATGGTCCCGGGTTCGAGCCCTCGCCAACGCACACCTGATATCTATGGTCGGCCTGCGAATTTCGGGCTACCGATATCCACGCTGAAAATTCCATACTTGTACCAAAAAATCAGTGTGGAATCAAGCTGTAATCAAAAAATAAAAAAATAAAATAAAAAAAATAAATAATAAATGACCAGTTCGTGGTGTATGATCACATTATTCGAAATGTCTTGCACCGCAAACACACCGCACTATTCAGATAAATTACGTCTTCTTATTGTTTAGTCCAGATTCATAAAGGGAACAAATGGTTTCATATACAAACAATTAGAAGGTAGAAATGTCTATAACAAGTGGATTGCATAACACATAATTTTTGAAAAAATGAAGAGTAAGTAATTAAGCTATACTTACTTCATCAATAGTCCCAAAATCAATTTCTTTCCATCGTGATGTTTTCCAATTGGTTACATAACTTCTAAACATGTTAATATAATCCCAGACACGTTTAGTTGTCTTCATTCCACGTCGCATTGTTTTCATATCTAAATAAGCTGGTACATCACGTACTTCAAATGATTTAGCTGAGATTTGCATTTCACCAACACCATTTTCAAGTTTCAATAGTTTTTGATTCCACTATATGAAAAGTGAAAGAGAAAATTTTTTTTTTAATACAGACGTAGATAGGAATAAAAAAAATAAACACTCATGTGAGCTTAATTCATCATTACTATCTCAGTGAAATAAACTGAGGTGTAAAGGAAACAGAGATAACAAACCCAGAATTGGAAGAGTTAGGCACACCTTCACCAATCTGATGTGATCATTTTGAAAGTGTTCTGCACTCCGTCGGCGCATAAACATGACTCAAATTTTCAACATCAGCGTTAAGTCAGTCAATCCATCAGTTCATCTATATGGATTTGCAACTTGCACTGTAGGTCACAAAAAGTGTTTTCAACACCCAGGTGAAGACTTTTATTAACAGCTGCCCTCGGTGTCTCATAACACAGAACATCAAATGGCCAGGTGATCAGAAAGAATTAGGAACAAGAAACCCTAGGAAAGAACTAACCAAGAACCTATTGCTCAACAAATATGTCAAAGAAAATGGAGATGGATCAGAGACACACACTGAGGAGACCATCTAGCGACATCGCACACCAGACCATTGGTCAAGTGGAACCCAAATGGGAAACGCTGAGTTCAGCCTTAGTCCGAAGTTGATATGGAGTAGATCGTGTGAAGAGATGACACGAGCCAGCTATATAGGACAGGAGACAACAGGACACAGTGAAGATGCCCTGTTGAACCTATCTGTATATTCTACTCAGAACCAAAGAGAACAACAAACAATACCATAATATTAATTGTCGATCAGGAAGTGATTTGGAAACTACTTCGCTACTACGGGGTCCCATCGACAATTATACATCTCATCTGTCAGTTTTACGACAATGCTTCATGCCAAGTAATCCATAACGGGAAACTTACGGAATCCTTCGAAGTAAAGACGGGAGTAAGACAGGGTCGCCTACTATCGTCAATGATTTTCCTGATTGCGGTAGATTGGATAATGCGACAGATAACGGGCGGGCAATGAGGAAACAGGCATAAAATGGACTCACACAAAAAACTTGGAGGATCTGGACTTCACCGATGATGATATATGTCTGATTTCCCACAAACTGGAAGATATGCAAGTGAAAAGCAACAAGCTGGCAGAAGGAGCATCAAAGATAGGACTTCAGGTGAACGCAGAGAAAGCAGAGGTGATGAAGGTTCCTGGCCAACACCAACAGCGGCAACAACAATAGACAGCAATCAGCCAGTATGAATTGGAGGAATCTGAAAGAAGCATCCTCCTTTACCTACCCACCTGGGAAGCTTCGTCTGAACTACAGACGGACGGAACTGACGAGGATATCAAAGTGAGGATCGGGCAAGCAAGGCATGCTTTCATTTAGAAAATCAAAACAAGTGATTCAGCGAAGAGACTCTTTTCAACGAATTTATCATCAAGCTGTACAGTCGTATATATTTGGTTTTTTATCAGAAGTTATATCCGGGGAGGGAATTGAATCTTAGGTGTGAATGCATAAAATAATAATAATAATATGAAGTGCAATTAAAAAACTAAAATGTTTGTGATTATGCTTATAGTTAAATGTCAAGTGGTAAAGCAAATTATTGTCATATATAGAATAATTCATAGGAGGGATAGAACTTGAAAAAGGATGTGCAATTATAGGATTAGTAGACAAATCGAATAAAACAAAAACGTTACGTAATATTGTGTGAAATTTAATAGCATAGAATTTATCGTTGTAGGAAACAATTGATTTAGAATGACAAGTGGAACAAGTGAAATTATACCGGGGACAGTTCAAAGTGAAAATACTAATAGTAACAATTGACTTAATAAGGTAGAGTAAACAAATTGAATAGACAAAATGAAAAAAATGAAAAATTGGTAGAGCTAAAATATGATTGGGGATTACCAACAACACTCAGTATCAAAAAAAAAATCCGGATTCTCAACTCGAATGTGAAGTCAGTGCTACTTACTATGTGGATCATAGGCCCGGCGAGTCACGAAGGGCACCTCGAACAAACTAAAGACCTTCATTAGCCTCTGCCTTCGTTCACTACTCAAGATCAGATGACCGGCCAGAAAACATCAGCAACAGGGATCTCTGGGAGCGAACTAGAAAAGCCCTCGAGTGGAACCCGAAAGGGAAGCGGTGAGTTGGTCGTCCAAGGGTGATTTAGAGGAGATCATGTGAGGAGATGAAAGTATGTGAGCAGACCTGGAGTCAGGTGATAACTCTAGAGGAGAACCGAACTCAATGGAGACGTGCAGCTGAAGCCCTATGTTCCTCTAGGAACTAAAGGAAATAATAATAATAAATATAATAATATTAATTAGTATTTTTGTTTTCATTCCTCTTGTGTTTGGCGTGCAACACACATAATCCTCCAAGCCTTTACTCTGAAGTTTCAGTAGAGATTATAATTTTGTTTTTTATGGGATGAAATTTTTTTTGATTTACAGCTTGATTCCACACTGTATTTTTGGTACAAGTATGGAATTTTCAACATGGATATCGGTAGCCCAAATTTTGCAGGCCGACCTTAGATATCAGGTGTGCGTTTGCGTGGGCTCGAACCTCGGACCATGTGCATGGTCGGCGAGAGTCCTAACCACTGTGCCACCGCCGCACAGCTAGCCTTACGGTTAACTTTCTGTCCTAACAAGGATAAGAAAGACTTAAGAATGTTTCGGGGGCCAAGAATCGAACCAGGACCACGTGTAGTGTAGTTGGTGAGTATTTTACCATTTCACCACCGTTATACAGCTAACATCTTAATTAAATGAAGTGCGAAGTATATTTACTATAGCATAGGAAGAACAAAAACGTGGTCACAACGAGGTAAAGATTTTTCTTTATGACATGTTTATCAGCTTGCCCGTACATTTATGAATATATAACAGAAAGGGTGAGGTGAGAAAGTTCCAGAGCTACTTCTGTCAAAGCGTGAAAATCTGACGAATAACAAAAATGCAGTTAAGTAACACAAATGAGGATCATGTTGAAATAGACTGGTTATGTGATAGTTGTGGCAGAGACAAATGCTGAATATACTTCTTTTAGATAAATACAACATCGACTTGAATTTTCAGATCTCTAATGCTTTAATTATACCCAAGTGTATTGAACTCATTCCTTTTAAGAGGCTTAATTGGGATCTCATATGAGAGTATTCAGGTTTTCCTGAATGGGGTTGAGTTCCCTGAGTTCTCTATATGTTCTGCCCTTTATTCAGCCAGGAAAGGTAATATTGTTTACATGAGCATTTTACAAGCGTGTACATGGTGCAGAAGAAAGTGAACTGATATATGTGTTGATGTAGCCTCAATGTAACAGTTTGTCTGTCATGTACTAGAGTGGCTTCCAATCTCTAAAGTGTTTTAACAAGGAGACAACAAAGAAGGTTCAACCATCATTTTTTGCTTTCAATGTTTTGATTAGCAGTCATATCTGCGGTATCCCTCAGTACAGGTATTTCTAAAAGTTTTGACTTTTTATCTAGTCAGTCTATTGCCTTCTAGAACCGTTATCTATGTACTCAGTCTTTCAATTCGTGCCTTACTACCAGTGTATCGACAGAAGACAATGGCCGGGAAGCAGATCGTTTATTGAGGAAATCAAGAGATATTTATATATTTTTATGTACATTATTATTCGTTATTATTAACAAAGAAACAGCGTCTTCTGATTGCTTGTTGTTCATTGGTTGATTGGTTGTTCTGTCATATCTTTGTGGCCGTTTCTTTGACGGTCTGCGAATCGTATCCTCCCACGCGAAGTCTGTTGTGATTGGTTGTTGAATTAGTCCTTGTTCTTTTTGTTTTTTTTCTCATGACCAAGATATGGAACGTAAATATTGACGTAAATTACTGTCTACCAGTTTTACCAAACTGGTAAAAGTGGAGTCAAGTGAATTTACAGACTAACTAGAGACTCATCTACAAAGTTAGAGAGAACCATACCCGAGACATACACATTAAAACTACTTCAAAATGATAGAAGACATTACAGTCCATGTGGCAGAGTTTAAATTCTGCATACCCAGGAGGTCTGTTCATCCGTTGAACATAAAAGAGGAACTAATCACCGGGAATTTTTCATATTTAAACTCGAATTTGTTTCTTTGTTAGTGAGTGGGAGTAGAATAAAGGATACACGTTTCGTCCTATTTGTCACTTATTAGCTGGATATATATGAAGTCCCCAATGACTATTGGTTTCTCCACCAAGGCTCGAACCCAGCACCTAAGGAACACTACCATGCTATTAGATAACGACAGGAACTATTTTTCTTTTTACCTTTCAAGGAGCCCTGTTTATTGGATATAATCTAAAATGAAACTTATTAAATAAAAAAAACTTTAGAGTAGACAAAAGGTGGGAGTTGGGGGTTGACAAGTGTAATCAATACAACTCACTTCATCTAAATCTGTATATGCTGTTAAACAGTTAAAATCGAATACATCAGAGGAATCGAAATTCTGCTTGAGCATAGCTGATTCATAATCATAATGAGCAGATTGTGCACGTATATTTTGCACTTCATTTTCTTGTAATGGTTGAACTTTTTGTTTAGTTATGATGGCTGTATTCTTTAAATCATTCCATTCATCTGGAAGATTCTAAATAAGAGAAATATGCATAAAGGTGTTAAAGTTTTATTTTTAAAAAGAAAATTCAATTAGACATTTGTAAAAAATTATATTTGTAAAATCTCAGCGAAATTGAAATAAGTAGTTCCAACGTTTCGTCCGACAATCTGGTCCGAACTTCTTCAGGGAAATTAATCGAAATTAACATAACAGGGGTTTATATATAAATAGACATCTGTTGTTTTTTAAAACTTTGTCCAGTCATGAGCCATGAAACAGACATCAACATGTATAATAAACAAAATTGTACGAACTGTGATCAAGATTTGACCTCAGACTTTCAAAATTAGTCTACTTATGTTAAAATATATGTGTAGTATGCGGTATACAACGGTGTGTGTTTGTGTGTGTGTGTGTGGGTGAACAGTCCTAAAACATTTGTTATTCTCTCCATAAGAACTCTTGGACAATCTGGAATTTGAACAAGTGTGACTACTTGTTGATACATTCCCAATTTTTATTTATTAATCAGGATTTGCCTTGCATCAGCTAACATCACACCTTCACGTCTGTTCAAACTGTTTGGATTCACCCATATATATGTAGGGCTTCCACAGTCAGTCTTTCTTTATACGGATCGCTCATTTGTTTTCTAGCTTCTTCAAGTCTGTAGAGGTCTTTGGAACCATCTTAAGACATTGTTTATGCTCTTTCACTCATGTATTTACCTGTCTGGAAGTTTCTCCTACACATACAGCGTTACAGTCCCCACAATTGATCTGGTATACGCAATTCTGATGGTTTTCTTGTTCTATTTTATCCTTAACCTTCACAAGTGAAGAGCGTAAGGTGTTAGTTGTACGAAAATACACTCTCATGTTATGATCGTTGAGGATTCGCTTTATCTCATCTGATGTTTCTTTGCCGTAAGGAATCACCGCTGTACTAACCCAATTCTTAGCAGCAGGTTTCTATCCATCCTTCCTTATCTTCACATTTTAAGTATCTTTTTATGAAGCCTTTAGGATAATTATTCAATTCAAGAGTAGATCAAACCAATTTTAGTTCCCTGCTGATTCCTTCCTCCTCAGTCTCGTTTTTCAGTTAATCAGTTTCTTGATCACAGTTGCTTTGGTAGTAAAGGGGGTGTGCTGAATAGTAGTAGTCTAGGTATCTGTCCGAATTTGTCGGCTTTCTGAAAATGTCTATTTTAAATTTACCATTCGGACCAGATTGCCGAACGCTGGAAACGTTGGAATTATTCATTTCAATTTCGCTGAGATTTTACACATATAATTTTATAAATGTCTCCTTCTCACTCGGTGCTCAAATATTTTGCAACTATCCGGTCAAATCTTAATCACAGTTCATGTGAAAAATTTAATTAGATATGGAATGTTATCTTTTGAATGACTTCTTAGGTTATGTGAAGAAGTGAAACTTTAAGCGCCAGGACAAATAACCTCGAACGCACCAATCACGTGATATCAAGGCTTTTTTCCGCTTGATTCAAGTGAAATGTCGCCTTTTATGGAGTTATTTCAGAAATTTGGTGTAGACCAGGTTTTCCAGTACTGCTTAGATATATAGAATTGTTTGGAAAGGAGAGAATTTTGTTCCTGCAGACGTATCATGAGTGTAAAAAGGCTTCTGTAGATAGGTTGATGGATATGTTCACCGTTGTGGGTATTTGTTTGAGACAAGTTAGTTTGAGGGAAGGTGTAAGCTAATGATTGCACTATTTCGTGGGAACATTGTTTTGGTAGACCCCATTTATTATCATCTCAGATTTTTTAAATATTCTGAGTAAAACGGAAAATAGTCTCGTTTCAACCGTTCAGTGGGACCAGCACGTCAGAGAGATATTGTATCGTGGAAGATGAAGAGAGCTGCTATTTTATTGAATGGAGGCGTTATTGTACATATAAATGAAACAGTCCTAATACAGTGGGAATACATAGTGGTCGTGAAAAAGTATTATCACTCATCATCTATCGGTACCAAACTAACTGTCAAAATCATTCAGGTACCGCATACACCAAACAGCAGAGGCTATCGTGATTCACCTGATATAACCGGTGCTCTGTATGCAGAAGAAACAGGTCCAACCACTGTTACTGCCTTGGCCTGCTGTAAAGTTTGCAAATTCATAAATACCTTATTACAACGGCCCCTTTTGTTATGGCCCTCTATCCTGTATGCATAAATTCCCCTACGCATTGTAATTACACTTGCATTCACTAACTAATCTTTCATTTTCTTATTTAAACGTAATAGTTAACTTACACACTGACACACATAAAGCGCACGTAAATTTCAACCCTGAAAAACCCTTTTTGTCTATCCCCCATCCTTGACATGATCATTCATCCATCTGAAGTTTTTAAATCAATATGAATGAACATTCAAGTGTTGATTTTTAGGGATTTCGTTGGTTATAGGATTTCATCATGAGCTGACATTGGTTAGAGAACCATTGGAAAATCTGCAGGGAGTACTGGACAGCTGTTTCGTCCTAGTTTGGGTCGCGCTATGTCGTGAATTGGCAGAAGTTAGAATTCATGGCCATAGGATCGGATCCCAGTGACTTAATGGTCTACGAGCTAGCTCGCCTTGTAACCAGAGGGTCCTGGGTTCGAACCCAGTTGTGGCGCGTGTGTACTGATGAAGAGTCCCAAACTAGGATGAAACAGCTGTCCAGTACTTCCAGGTTTTCCAATGGTTCTCTAACCAATTTCAGCTCACGATGAAATCCTGTAACCAATATGAATGGAACTTAATATGAACATAACTCATGAGAATTTATTACTGTACATTCGTTGTCACTCATAACCATTTTCAATAGTTGGTTTGTAAGGATTAGATTTGTTTTTTGCAAGTTGATCACGAATTGATATCAGTTAGAGGACCATTAAAAACCACCAGGAGTGCTGTGAATCATTGGCAGTACGCACCCACCACAGGGTTTTGAACCCAGGTCCTTCCGGTAACAAAGAAAGCTAGCTCGTAGACCGTTCAGCCACTGGGACCGGATTCAGTGGCCAGCCCATGACATCTAACTTCTACCAATTCGTAATTTAGCTCGACCACCATCATAATCACTTACTTTCCAAGGCAAAGTTGAACTTTAAGCACCACCAACTACCAATCAGCGAATGACCTTGAAAGCACCAATCACATGAAGGAGGCACTTTTGTGTATGGAATACACATATTTATGAAAAAGATGTATAAAAACTGTAGAAAAGTGTTATAGAGGATACCTTCCTCTCTCATGTGATAAATGTAGCTCTCAGTTTTAGGTTGGAGTATCAACACAGAGTATAATTCCATTGCGAATAAAATTTATTTTGATGAAGTCTCATATAGTGTAACACAGTAATATTTATTGAGCAATAAACTGTGCTTGAAACGTGGTCATCAGTAAATGTTACTGTATAATATTGTGAGAATTTATCAAAATAGATTTACCCGCAATGGAATTATACTTACTGCCACAGTGCACAAGTTCTATTCTCATATCAACAGAGTAATTTAACCACATTCTATGCATGTAATTATTTAGGTCTTCTAATAATTACAATGACCCTAATCTTTCCTGAACCTAACCCTAACGTGAAAATATGCCTAAACTAACTGTAATCTAACTGGAACTAGCGCTAATATCCCATTTAATAGGTTAACCTAACCCTAACTTGTCATTGGCCTAAACCGTAACTTAATCTTTCCCTAACCTAAGGTGAAACTTTCTGGAAATCCCATTTAAATAGCATAACACTTCGATGAGGATATTTTATTGATGATGACAAATTTATATGCCGGGTTTTGGTAACTTGCTCAGTGGGCGCTTCAAGGTCATTGGTGCGGTCGCACTCCATTGGTAGTTAGTGGTGCTTAATGTTTAACTTATCCCTATAATCCGTTAAAGCAATCTAGTTGCAAATAACTTTTAGAATTCTGATCTAAATGATTCCATGTTAATCTCTTTTTAAAAACCACTAATGCTGTCAGTCAATAACAATCATTCTTTCATTATTATGAATGGATAAATAACTGTAGAACCTGATGATGAAGTTATCGAAAAGAAGAATATTATTTGTTCAAGAATCAATCTTTTGAAACTTTGAATGGGTATCTTTAATCCATTAAAATAAATTTTGGGCGATTCAATTGTACGGAGCCACTTTACGGAAAGGATTCATCGAAAGAATATCAGACAAAAAGTCAAATCATTCAATACCCATTATGCCAATGGTTGGAGAAACGAGGAACTATAATACACACAGATGGATGGGAAGGAAATAACTGATTGTCTTTCCTGGGATATATATTCACCAGAGAGTAAACGACACTAGTGATTTTCTGGATCCTGTGCTTTATTCATCTATTAGCACATTGCTAATAATGGTGTAATCGCGTATTACAGGATTCATCGTGACGTGACATTACTTAGAGAACCCCTGAGAAACCAGACTGTACTGAATAGCTGTATTGTCTTAAAATCAGACCTGCTAGCGGCACACGCCTACCGGGATTCAAACCCAGAACGCTTCAGTCACAAGGGGAGCTTGTAGGCTACTCAGCCACTAGGACGGAATGCAACGGCCCATGAATTTCAACTTATGCCAAAACCAGAAGGTTCTGGTTTCGAATCCTATTGGATGCGTAATTTTGAAGAGTCCTAAGCTGAGACGAAACAACTTCCCAGTAATCCCTGATTTTCTATTGGCTCCCTAGCTGTTACCAACTCTTGATCAACCCTGAAACTTGTAATTATCTCGTTAAGCCTTTTGTTATTTTCTTCCTATGTTCGTAGGTCTCTCTGTCTGGTCATGTGTGTTCACAGTAACAAAGTGTTTCTGCAACATAACAACAACATTAACTGAAATACACACAATGAAGAACTTACTTCTAATAATTTATTCATTGACTCAGGTAATTCTTCACCAAATTCTTTTAATAAAGCTACAGTCTCTCTTAATGGTTCAAAACCAGCATCTGTTGCCTCTTCAGCTTCACGTATTAACTTTAAGCGCTCTAGTATTGTGACTAATTTGTTATATTCCACTGATTCGATATCAGTTGTAGGAATTTCTAAATCTGCTTGACTATTCTTAACAAATTGTTGTAAATTCTCAAGAGTAGTTGTAACATGACTAAGAAGATATTGTTTAAATTTATCACTCCATTGTCTAATCACTGATAATAGGGATTGTTTAAATGGTTTCAAATTAGCCTTTAACCATGAATCAAATAATTTTGAATCATCTATCCGTTCAACTTCTTCAAAAACACGATCATATTTAATAATTTGTTCACGAAATTGATCTAGCGTTGGCGGATTTTCATGCGCTTCAATTTCCCCTGTGGGACCGATATCATCTTTAGTTAATAGACGACCATAACGACAAAATTGTTTAATAAATTCTGTACGATCTTCAGTCCAATAAAAGGAATAATTACTCTCCAGTTGTTGTTGATAATCCATTGCAGCGTACATAGCTGATCGTATATGATCAGTGATTGTTTTTATGAGATCAGTAACTTCTGGTGTCAACAGAACTTGTTGAGAGAATCCTGTGAGTGACTTGACTTTTTCATAGGAATCCATATCAGTTGCATCTTGTCCTGGCAGTGATGTTTTGTGTTTTACTTTTTGTTCAACTTCAGATTCTTGAACCGTTAATTTCTCCTCTGAAATTGGTGGCGCTGATGCTTGTGGTTCTGATTCCACTGCTGTTTCTGGTACTTCAGAAGGTTCTGTCGCCAACGGTGGTACAGTTTCAGAAGGAGCTGTTTCATTCACTGTTTCCATTGTTTGTGATGGTAGTCCACCTTCCACCTGACCTCCTGGTTGACTTGTTGTCGGTGTTGGTGAATTGCTTACAGTCGGAGTTATATCCTGAGGATTAATTAACGATGAGATTAAACGTGATTGGTCAGTGATGTCTTGTATTAAATTGTTGAATATTTCTAGAAGATTTACAACCTGTGATTCTTGTACATCAGGGGAATAGGCAAGACGATCAACCTGGAAAATTCAACACAGAAGAAAATCAGTTAGATTTAATTCACACTTGAAAGTTAATCTAGTACTTACTAGTGACTTACGACAGGACGAAGTCGCCCGAAGTTCCAGTGTGAAACCGTGTGAGCTCAAATACTCGCCAGGGATGACACTGGCTTCCAGTGGCTTTACAGATATCTCAAACTGAGAGAAGAGAGACCTGATGAACCATAAGATGCCTTCCAAGTCGATGAGTTTGGTAAACTATCGTATCTTCTCAGCTGAAGGTTCTGCGTTCGATTCTCACTCAGGTCACGGATGTGAAACACTGAAGAATCCCAAATGAGGGTGAAATAACTCTCCAACACTCCCCGATTTTATTGACTCATTGTTACAGCTGCACACTGCACAACCCTGAAACAACTACTAACCACTTAAGCCGATAAGTCAGTTTAAGGCTTTTATGACCGTCCCATCAATTTCACAGTTGATCGATCTGAACGCAAGAAACCGATCTTTGCGTCCTACTGCATATCTGATCCAAACTTCCTTGAGACACACACAGTCACAAAGCGCCTTAAACACAACAAAAGGATGGTCATTCGTCGTAAGATCTATGTGGTTCCCACTTAACAGTGATAAAATCAAATACTCAGAATTACCTCAAGAGTGCCCCATATAGGGTAGCTCGGTGTACACGTCTTTCTTAGAGGCGAGTTGTAGAGTGAGTCTTGGTGTTCTGACTACTTTATATCTCCTGATGAACTTGTCTGGATAAATGTTATCAACCAGAGTTTGTGTCAACTTTCTTTCTTCTTCATCAAGTGTGTCTTCAGTGCACTTTCCTGAGGCTTTTTTGTACCGAACAGGCCAGGCAGAAACTGTGGTAATTAAGATACTGTCCTGTCCAGGTAGATTTTCTATAAATAGATCTTTTTATTGACCCATCAAGCTGTCGACTAAGCAATATGTCTAGGAAAGATAAACAATTATCTTCTTCTTCTACAGATGTAAGTGATATGCTATTCTGAACTTCATTCATTCGATTTAAAATTGAGGTGGCAGAACAAGACTTATCACTGATGATTACAATATCATCTACATACCTTCTATAAAGTGGCACATTTTCGATTAAATCCTCCGATAAATTCTCAATGTGCGACATAAAAATATTGCAATAAAAATATCTGCTAAAAGGGGCCTTAGCGGACTGTCCATAGCAACACCATCAACTTGGCGGAAACAATCGCCTTCAAATGTAAACCTAACATTGTTAGTACATAGAAGTAATAAATCCCTTAAGTGAGATATAGGGAACAGGATGAAAAAGCTGTTTGTGGAAATGTAATCACACTAAAATGTCAACTGTTTTGATCAAAGGCACATTAGTGAATAACGACAAATCAAGTCTTCTTATTCTTTGAGTGTACGTGTGGACACACATACTAATTGAGGACTCCTCGATCTCTGCAAGTAAGAGATTCACAGCATATTCCTAAATGCCTCCAGAAGCAAATAGAAGCACCAAAACCCACTAATGGTACGAACAGGAGACCTAGCGCTTCTATCGCGAAACATATTATAGAGACAGGACATGAAATTGATGTTAACAGATCTTTTAAACCTATCTGTAAAACGTGCTTGGGGCGTATCCTAAAGTTTGTGGAGGCCCTAGCGAGTAGAAAGTGCAAGTCACCTTTATGCGTTCAAAGCAACAATTCGTCATCACATTAAACCTTCCTTGGTAAATTTTGTTTTGATACCATCCAGGGTAGATGTACTATTACCTCTGCTATTTGGTTTATTGGTCTTCATTGCTATTTTGACCTTGAATATGTCCTTTTAACTTGACCTAAGTCTATTTTCTCACATCTGATATGTCCGTGTATGGAATCCGATTGTTCGGAATGTGTGTTACGCAAATACAACACTACACGATTCAGACAAATTGCGTCTTCTTATTGCATTATCTAAATTCATAAATAATTACAAAGTTAGTTTTAAATTCTAAGATCACTAAGATGGGATTTTGCTAACAATTACTCTCTTACACAGAACTTGCAACATGAGGCCACTTTGTGTTTTAAAGACACAACAGTCGCTCGATGTCAAACAACAATTACTATGAATCTTCGCCATGCATATTACAGACTAGACAGCTTTTTTTTAAATATTTACTGGTTAGGAAAGACGAGGAAGGAGACATTTTTTAAGAGAGAGAATCTATAGTCATCTCAATCCTGTTTGACAGTTACCTGTGCTGGTATTTGACCTGAAATCACATTCGTATTATTCCTGGAATTTTGAGTTAGATATCTAGTTAGCATGATGCAATACAGAATTGAATTAACTCAGTCAACAAATTTCTCTAATCTCACCATTTGACTCCTTTCTTTGACTGAGGACTTTACTAAGCTAGAAACTATGTGGTTTTCTATCATTTCAATGTTAGCTTATGTTCACTTACTCTAGAAGCGGAGATATAAGAGTAGAGTAAATACAGGAATAAAACAAGGCTACCTATTGTTACCAGCGGTATTCTTCTTAACTGTGGTGGACTGGGTTATGCATCATACTGGGGGAAGGGGGGAAGTGAGGAGACGGAAGTATCTTGGGCAGACCAAAAAAAGACTCTAGAAGATCTGGATTTTGCAGATGACTTATACCTAATGTCACACAAACTGGAAGACTTGTAGGCAAAAACCAACAAACTAGCTGAAGAAGTAGTTAGCGAAGACAGGACAGATTACAGGTTAGCATAGAGAAGTTGCCTTCGCTCAATACCACTCAAGATCAGATGGCTGGCCAGAAAAGATCAGAAACAGGGATCTCTGGCATTGAGCGAACCAACACAGCAGGAACCGATTGTGAAACAAATAGGCAGGAATAAATGGTGATGGATTAGCCATACGCTGAGGAAACCATCAATTGACATCACTAGACAAGTCATCGCTCGAGTGGAACCCGAAAGGGAAGCGGCGAGTTGGTCGTCAGTGCAAGAGTGACTTGGAGGAGGTCATGTGAAGAGGAGATGAGAGCATGTGGGCAGACGTGGAGCGGAGTGAAAAAGTTGGCAGAAAACAGAAGGCAATGGAGGTGATGAAGATAACCAGCTAACCAACCAACAGCAACAACAACCAGCAGCAATCACCATCAACGGGAGAGATTCGACAGAGGTTACCTCGTTCACTTATCTAGGAAGCATGGTTTCAACCATAGCTGGCGGAGCAGACGACGATTTCAAAGCCAGCCAGCCAGCCAGAATCGTAAAGGCAAGATACGCCTTCGTCAACCTGAAACTACTTTGGAAATCTTCTTCACTCTGCCTCAGCATAAAGAACTAAATACATATTTTCAAGACAGATGTAAAGTCAGTCAGTCAGTCAGTTCTTCTATATGGATGAGAAACTTGCACTGCATGTGAGTCACGAAAAGCATTTCCAGCAAGTTACAGACATAGCTGCCTTAGCTGGCCACCTATTGAATATCATTTGGTCAGCCAGAATAAAATTAGCAAACAAGAAACTACGGGAACAAACCAACCAAGAATCCACTCTGGTCAAGTATTATTCCGAAGGAAACGGAGATGGATTCAGCACACACTAAGGGGACCATTGAATGACATCGCACGCCATGGTGATCATTCGAGTGGAACCCGGATGGGAACCGAAGAGTGGGGCATCCGAGTGTAACGTTGTGGAGATCATGTGAGTTGGTGGAAATGAGAGATTATGATCGATCATGAGCCCAGCTAAAAGGGACAGCAGAAAATTGAACAAAGTGGAGATGGCTTGTTGAAGCTGTATGTTCCACTGGGAACCAAAGGGAACAACAAAGGTACAGTTGTGGTAGAGTATAACCCTACTTGGGAATCATTTTAACATTGAAGTAATAATAACCTGTACACCAATAACATGTGCGTCGGCAGTCCAGCTTGCCAACCGCGCATGCGGTCACGGTTCGACTCCCGGCCAAGGCACACTTTTGAACCCGGCTTAGTTAGTAGTAGGACCATACTAGAGGGAAGATTGGGCTTCAGGTTACTATTTACCCTAAAATTCCTGTAAATGAACAGAATGTTACGCGTGGTTTGGAAGAAGTTTTATTCATGTTAACATTCGTCTGCATATTGCAACTAGAGAATCTTGAGTTCACTCACAGGTTGTCACACGTACTCATATCTCTGTAATTCAGTCTCTGCCAAATTTAGAGACATAATCAAACATTTTGGGAAATGTAACTTGGGACTGATTTCTTCCTATCCAGATACATCGTAAGACGTTAGTCAGTTCAGAACACACACTTAGAAACTAATTAACAAATTGTAGCAAATGATTCACAGAAAGCGGTCTTCAGTATTGTACGTCATTGGTTCAATAGTAGAATTGTGTTCCACTACACAGGTGGCCCGGATTCGACTCACAAGCGACACAATCCTAAACTTTGCTTAGCCAATAGTAAATACAATCATGGGTTTGAATCCAAGTGAGTGCATACTGACGACAAGTCCCAAAGTGGAACGAAACTGTTGTCCAGTACTCCCAGCTTATTTTCCATAGCTCCCTAACTTACACAGATCTATCATCAAACGATAAAAAGAGGTTGTGCCTGATACTAGCAACCCCATCCCGCAAAAAGGCATAATCGCTACTGAAACCTAAAAGCTCAAGCTTGAAACCTTATTTCCTTATAGGAAAGCCTCCAGTGTCGTTAACAGTATTAAAAGATACTGGTACAAAATTGTTAATTGTTGAGAATATCAAAAATAAATTCTGTGGAAAAGAAACAGTTAAACAGTCTCAGACGAAAATCCCCCATCAAAATGCAGCGGAATGCTGAATGGAATTCACACATAGCAAATCGACTCCCTGTATTATCAGTTCTTCCAAGTAGCTAGTCAGAATTCGCTTGTACTGAGCGAATTCGACCCTGTGAGCTGATAAACCCAGAGTATAACGAGCAAAATGACCATCTGATGTGGTTAGCCAGAAAAACACTACTCGTTAATTTCAGTGAGTGTCATTCAACTACTTATATCACACAATCAGTAGTATATAGTACCATAAATAAATGTATGTAACTTACTACTAAATCTAATTTTGTCTCCATAATTGGTAATTCCACTTTCATTTTTTCTGTATGCGTTGATAAATACATCAGGCTACAACAGACTGTATCAATCAAGCCTTCAATAATGACATATTCAGCTGATTCCAAATATGCATTCCAATCAGGACTTGATGGATTTGCACGGTATAATTCTTGATTTCGCTAAAAAAAAGAAAAGTAACATTTAAATAAGAGAATACATGAAATAATGGCGGATTTCATTATGAACCCGGCGGGGGGGGAGTTAGGCAACCATTGAAAAATGATAACAATAATGACAATTTTCAACTCCAGAGCTTGGAATGGCAGTCAGCTATCTATCTAAACCTCATCGACTTTGAAAAGTCCTTCAGCAGACAGCGTCGATCGAGAGGTGATTCGGAAACTACCTCGCTATTACAGGGTGCCACTAACAATTATACATCTCATCCAGCAGTTGTACGACAACGCTGCATGCCAAGTAATCCACAACAAGAAACTTACGGAATCCTTCGAAGAAGTGAAGACGGGATTAAGACGAGCTGGCTGCCCACTACTATCTCCAATGATTTTTCTGATTGCGGTAAACTGGATAATGCGACAGACAGCGGGCAACGAGGAGACAGGCATAAAATCAACCCACACAAAACACTTGGAGGATCTGTACTTCGCCGATGATATATGTCTGATTTCCCTCAAAATGGAAAATATGCAAATGAAAAGCAACAATTTCGCAGAAGAAGCATGCAGAGAATATCGGCCTTCAGGTGAACAAAGAGAAAACAGAGGTGACGAAGATTCCTGGCCAACACCAACAGCAGCAACAACGAGAACAGACAACAATCAGCCAGCATGAATGGGAGGAATTTGAAAGAAACAACCTCCTTTACCTACTCACCTGGGAGGCATCGTTTCAACTACAGACGGACGGAACTGACGAGGATATCAAAGTGAGGATCGGGAAGGCAAGGAATGTCTTCATTTCTCTCAAGTCTGTGTGGAGGAGATCAACAGCACTCAGCATAAAAAGCAAAATCCGGATTTTCAACTCCACTATGAAGTCAGTGCTACTTACTATATGGATCATAGGCTTGGCGAGTCACGAAGGGCACGTCGAACAAACTAGAGACCTTCATCAACATCTGCCTTCGCTCAATACTCAAGATGAGATGGCAAGCCAGAAACGATGAGCGACAGGGATCTCTGGGAGAGAACCAACCAGGAACCAATTGTGCAACAAATATGCAGGAAGAAATGGAGGTAGATTGGTGGCCATACTCTAAGAAAACTATCAAGTGCTGTCACTGGACAAGCTGTCGGGTGGAACCCGAATGAGAAGCGACGAGTTGGTGGTCAGTGCGAGGGTGACACGGAGGAGGTCATGTGAAGAGTAAGTGAAAGCATGCGGGCAGATGTGGAGCCAGGTGGAAACGTTGTTAGAGAACCGAACGTAATGGAGACGCGCGGCTGAAGCCGTATGTTCCTCTAGGAATCAAAGGAAATAATAATAATGCTTTATTTCCAAACAGTACTCATGTGATACAAATAGGAAAGGATAAAAGAGTCAATCATTTTGCTAATAGCATAGTGAATTGTAGGTTTCCTGCTTAACGTTACGCCTATATCTCACAGTATGATGACCAAATAATCTTAAATAATGACTTTTAGGATTCTATCTGATAAGACGTAAGGCAGGGAAAGTTACGAATAGAAACGATGTTGAGAGTTAGACAATATGGATTTCGACTATTTCTCACAGTAGTAACTAGCTGACTAAATGGTATACCATTAGCCCTACTGACAACCTTTAATACTCTTCCCAGTATGACAATAGCCTTTCTTGAGTTGACCAGGAATGACTAACAAAGAGCGGTAAAATACAATAGGTAAGATGCAAGAATCAATAAATTTTAGAAGTGAGACGGGGGGGTTGAATGATTCCTGATTGTTTTAACTTCTTAATGCAGAAGGTGGTTAGATAGAAGATTTTTTAAGAAATCAAAAAGATATAGGACGATCGATCAGGAAAGGTGAGAGGATAGAACCAATCCTACTTCGGAAATCTTTAGTAATAAACAACCTTGATCCAAAAATACCAGTTATTCTATCGATCTTCCCCAGCATTCGCATGTTTTAGTAACTCTAATCAATCTCTTATTCATATACAGTAATCAAACATTTGATCTGAAGTTTGTCAAATCAATCTAACCTTCATTGATCAATTGGTTTATCTGTGTGGATTGAAGCACATGGTAGACAATTGGATTTTCAAAGAACGAGAGCTCAGCTGAAGTATTGTGGTGTGGTGTGATTATGTATCTCTATAATCTCTTCATATCATCAATAATAGATATACCCTTAGGCAGCCGGAAGTGTTATACTCTCCTTTCAATAGTTGAGACGATGTCGAGAACAGCCTGGCCACGAAGTTAGGTTTGACAGGCTAAAGAATCAACAGATAGTGTGGTTAAAGTTCAGGTCTAGCAGGCTGATTAAGTCACTGGGCTACCGGAACTTCTATTCATTAAAATGCTGCTTAAACTCTTTTGCATTTCTTATTGTTTCAACCATACAGTTATGTCAAATAAACACCAGATAAAGGCAACTAAACGCTATGGAATTCTTCAACAAAATGAAGAAAACACTTACAGTTCTTAGTGAGCTCCTTTTTACTAACTAAAACAATTTGGTTATTGAATTGAATTCTTGATTTTCCCGTCGATTGATTGGACCGAAGCGCTCCGTCTCAGGTTGACATGTCGACTTCTTGTGCAGATGCTTCGACGATGTCCGGGCATTTAGTTAGGATACAATTGTTGGATGGTGGCTAGCAGTGGAATCCAGGATGCTCATTTCGTCCTATTTGGGACTCGTCACTGGATGTACCTGCATTTCTCAGTGAGTGATGATGTTCCCACCGAGGCTCGAACACAGTACCCATAGTTTCAAACGCCAAAGCGTTATCCACTAGACCACTTGGGCCACGAGAGCCACCTCTTGTGCAACGGGTCAAATTAATTATTGAATTGAATTCTTGATTTTCCCGTCAACCTGAGACCGAGCACTTCGGTCCAATCAATCGACGGGAAATCAAGAATTCAATTCAATAATTAATTTGACCCGTTGCACAAGAGGTGGCTCTCGTGGCCCAAGTGGTCTAGTGGATAACACTTTGGAGTTTGAAACTATGGGTACTGTGTTCGAGCCTCGGTGGGAACATCATCACTCACTGAGAAATGCAGGTACATCCAGCTGACGAGTCCCAAATAGGACGAAATGCGCATCTTGGATTCCACTGCTAGCCACCATCCACCAATTGTATACTAAAATAATTTGGATTGTTTTACAAATTAAGGAGAATGTCTAAATTAAATAGGAATATTAGGCCGACAATATGACAATAAGAAGACGTGGACATCGTGGCTAATTTATGTCCAATGTCATGGAAACTCTAAAACTAACAGTTTAACACAAAAGCTTGTGAAGAAATAATTTCGAGTGAAAATACATGGAAAAGAGAGATGATGAAGACATCTTACTGACAACAAGAACAAGCACCAGTCAACTCCTGAAATCTAAAGAGAGTCATCTCTTCCTCCTACTTAGTGAGAATTGTCTCAACTATAGGCTGCACAGGTAATGATGTCAAAGTTAGGATCAACTGAGCAAGACAAGATTTCATAACTCCGAAATCAATATCGAAATGTACTACATTCAGTGTAGGAGAAAAGGGCAGAGTTAAACTTTAAGCATCACTAACTACCAATCAGCGGTGGTTGTGTTCTCTGAGTTGGATAGTTAATTTCCTAAGCTTTGATCGCCCCTTACTAGGCGACATCTTCAGCGGATACTTCTATTTGAATTGAAGTGAGCTTCTGGATTTCTCCACGAGTTTATTAGTCAGTCATCTCTCCTGGTGGGTGACCTTAAACGTGACTCTCCGGACGTTTTTGTGTGTTTTCACACTTTGGTCTAGGTTACTTGTATTGGAACTGATTGTTGCTTTGACTTGAACTTTGACGCTTTGTGTGTGAGTGTGTGTGAGGTTTCTTTCTTATCGGTTGATAAATTTTGTCTATCTCGATGTGTCTATTGATTGGTGATTCACTTGAATACCAGGCTGGCTTCTAAGAATTCTCTAGCATTCCTGTTGTTTCCTCTGTCTAATATTTGAACGTTGGTTGTCCCAGTCGAATTGATGTCCATGGTTGTCTGTGTGTAGTGAGTTATATGAGGGAGTGGATATGATGTCTTTTGACGGCTAGCTTATGTTCGTGGATACACAGACGAAGGGGACGTCCACTTTGGCTAATGTAGTGTTTTTCGCAGTTGTTACAATTTATTTTGTAGATGACACTGGTTTTATCTTCTTTCGCTGTTGAGTCTTTTGGTTAACATAGAATTGAGTGAAGTGATTTTGTTGGTTTGTGTACTACGTCAATTCCTCGTCAAGGTTTGAAGAGTCTTGTAGTGATTTCTGAGATATCCTGTATATATGGTAAGGCGATTTTCTGTGTCATTTCTCTGAGAATTCTTAGAAGTTTGGCATTCCATTGAATCATCAATCAATAGACACATTGAGATAGACAAAATTTATCAACCGATAAGAAAGAAACCTCACACACACTCACACACAAAGCGTCAAAGTTCAAGTCAAAGCAACAATCAGTTCCAATACAAGTAACCTAGACCAAAGTGTGAAAACACACAAAAACGTCCGGAGAGTCACGTTTAAGGTCACCCACCAGGAGAGATGACTGACTAATAAACTCGTGGAGAAATCCAGAAGCTCACTTCAATTCAAATAGAAGTATCCGCTGAAGATGTCGCCTAGTAAGGGGCGATCAAAGCTTAGGAAATTAACTATCCAACTCAGAGTACACAACCACATCAATATATATATATATATAGTATCATGTTACCTACCTTAATTAATTCATGTATTTTCTTACCAACCACATCAACTTCTTTAAATCTAGCATTTCTTATAGTAATACGATCTTCCAAGGGGAGATAACAATCGTATTTACGTTCTTTTCCTTGAAATAGGGGTATTTTACGCCATTGTGACATTAGCTGTTCAATATTTTTGAAATTCTCCTCTGCTTCTATCACTCTTGATTGAAGTGCACTAATTATATTCAAGGAGTTATCAATAAATTCTGTATTCACTATATTATTATAAAATCATAGAAAGGGGGAAAATTAATAACAATGAGGATGATAATGGCAAGGAAATCAATAAAGATAGAGGGATTATTTTTGGGTAATAGGCAAGAAATCATAAAAAACTATTCTGACGATCAGACAGATAGCCGACAGGAAAGGATTAACCATATTTGGCCTGTACAAACAAAACTGACTGACAACCTGTCACCCAGTGAAAATGAAAAAGGAAATCAAGACGAATCGGACGAACCAGTTGAATAGAGGACATTGCCTGATGAACTTTTTTTAGGTATGCGGACGATCTAACTATTTCAATGTTTGTTAACTGCAAGCTAGACTCTACTAAGATGAACAGCTTTCTATCAGGAGTCAGCAAATGGTCTTCTTCTTCTAATGGCCTTAAACTAAATCCTTCCAAAAGTCAGACTGTTAATTTCAATTTCCGATGTAAACGAAAGTTAAATGAAGCCATTGGTTCCTATGACCCTTGCAAAATTGATGACATTGATATAGAAATCAAGCCTGAAGTTAAGTATCTTGGATTATTTCTTTATACTGACCTATCCTGGTCTTCTCATGTTTTAGCGATTTCTAAAAGAATATTTCGTCTGACTTTTTACATTAAGAAGTTGAGGCACTCGGCTATAACTCAAGCCCTCCTCTTACAGTTCGTCAAATCGTGCATCTTACCTATTCGTCTTTATTGTTCACCCTTACTTATTCTTTCTTGGATTGCGTAAAAAAAGACTATGTCATACTTCATAGAACTCTGAAGACTGACTGTCAGTAGGGCGAGCGGTATCCCATTGGGCCATATCGTTGACACTGTCATTGATGATAGGCACTTGATGTCATGCAACAAATTTGCTAAAGGAATTTTGTCAGACTGTAAGCATCCACCACAGCACCCGCAGCTCCAACCCTGTGTCTCCTCTTCAGGTAAAACAAGAAGTCTTTTTAGAAGACTTTATGCACGTACGTCCAAGTATAAAAATTCCACTATACCATATTTAGCACGTACTTTATGCGATGAAAATAGTGTCAGGCATGAACCAACTAACCTTCTTTGCACTACTAAATAAACCATTTCCTCCACCCTTACAACATCAAACTGTATTGTTATTGTATTTCTTATATTTATAATCCTCTCAAATTTTTTTTCATAAGTGTGAACATCATTTAAGCTGAGTTATAACTGCTAATTTTGAATTTCCTTCACTATACTATATCAACAGAACATTAGATCCAATAATAATGATAAAGTTTCCAAACTGAATCGGCAATACTGTTTGAAACAAACTCGCTGTTATTATTATTAATATTTAATGATCACAATTCGTGCTTCGAATTTTTGACCTTATATCGTAAATGTGGACAAATTCCTCTGGTTACTTTTGTTTTAATTTTTAATTTTATTTATATTTTAAGTAAATCAGATGCAAGGTGTTGTGACGAGTGCTGAGAATTCCATTCTGTATTATAAGTGCTGTTTTTGGAATAAAGTAAATTATTATTATATTACCAACTAGGTCAGCCCTCGAGTGGAACTCATATGGGAAGCAATGAGTTGGGTACGCGTCAGAAAGTGATGTGGAATAGATCACTTGAGAAAGAAGAGAAAGGAGGGCTTATGTGATGGTATCTCATGGATTTCCGTATTTGAAATTGTTACTGGGGTCACTAGATTCTATTGATATAAGAATAAAACTTGTGCACTGTGGTAGAGTATAATGATATCAAGGTGATATGATTATGAGCAATAAATTGTGCTCGAAACGTGGTCATCAGTAAACATTACTGTATAACACTGTGAGACTTTATCAAAACAAAAATTTACCCATAATGGAATCATTAAATTCTAGCCCATTAATGTATCTGTTCCCTAGTCTAACTGTAATATATTCTCTGCACTGGTAAAGTGTCAATGTTTTCAATGTTCCAACAAACGGATGTTACTTCTCGGCGAATTCCACATCAGGGTATATCAGTTTTCAAACTTACCAACTGCATAAAGAATCGTTAATTACTGCAAGCATCTCACTGAACTCTAGTTAGTAACTAGAGTAACCTGTCTAGTTCTTTGTTTGGTACAGACTGAATTTTGTCATCAGTCAAGTTTCCTATGTAAACCAACCAACTATGATAGGTGGCTCGCTGTCATCGTGCACTTTGAATTGTTGGTATTAAATGGTTGGATGCAATCGGCAGGAAGCTTTGGACCTAGGCTTTTTTCTGGTTGGCATTCATCAGTCAGCAAGGTGTGACCATATTGCAAATCTAACAAATATAATTCAGTCTGCATTAATCAAAGGAGCAGATAGATAACACCAGCTACTAACTAGAATTCAATCATAAACTTGAAGCAATTGATGATTCTTCATGCAGTCGTAACTTGTTTCAACTAAGCCTAACATCTATTCTAGGACCTCTGTTGGCCGACTGTTTTATGATCAGCCTAGTAGGCAATTTCTTATCACCAACAATCGAAGAGAATCAAGATATTGGAAACCTACTCCATACCAGCAATAATACCCATTCAAACATCGACATTACTCTATAAGTTAAATCTAACTCAATGTTCCATTTCCTCGATGTTCAACTGAAAAGAAATGCTGATGACTCTCTGAGTAGATCCGTATACCAAAAGCCCACACTGAATTGACAGTTTATCAATTTTAGAGTTGTATTTCTCTGAGCAGAATGAGAACCCTCATCTATTCTCTCTCCTCGAGGATCCGAAAAGTATGCATCATGGAATCTATTGACTGAGAACTGAGAAATTTCCGAGGAATCTTGATAGGAAATAGTTTTCCATCTTCAGATATATAGATAAGGATCTGAAATCAAAGAAAACGTCTGATAAGTTCTAAGCCGATCCCAAAAAGATGCTGTTGATTAACCTCGGATTTAAAAGTGACACTGAGGCAGAAATTCTCCACAAACCGATTTCGAAACCTCTCAGTGAAACTTACTTCGCCAACAGCCTACGACTGGCATTTTCTTGAATGAAAATATTCCCTCAGCAAGTGAAAGGCAAGTTGTCCTATTAGGCCACTTTAACATGCCTATACCAGTCCACTTGTTATTGTGGAAGTGAGTACATTGATTGGTTTTACTATGTGTCCGCTTGTAAAAGTACTCGGAACGCAAGTGTGTACATAGTTCTATAACTGAACATCTGATAAACCCAAGGCATTCAGCCCTATATGAGTAATCCTTCAAAGCCAGGATCCGATCAAACCACTCAACGGAAGTGAAGTCAAGGCATCTGACTGAGCATAGCTGAGGCACTAGCAATCCAGAAGTTCAAGACTACGCTATGTATACAAAAGAAATACGTCCAAATTTTGCCTCTACTATGGCTAACATATGCAGTTAGTTCCCCGAATATCGATTATCTTGTAACCTCTCTTATCCAATCTTGCTGTTTATTTCTGTTATTTCTACGACTTTTAATTCCTATTTGTACTACTATACTTTTATCTGAACTTCCCATCTTATTTGTTTTAACTACGTTTTTAACCCCTTTTCGCTACCCTATTATTAATAATAATAATAATTTACTTTACTCCAAAGCAGTACTTGTGATACAGAATGGAATTCTCAGCATTTTGCCACAATATTGCATTGAGTTAGTACATTAACAATAAATAAAATTCTACATAGATTATGGGTAATCTCAGTTAGTTTTGACAACAACATATCGGTAGCATGTCGGTAGCAAAGCCAAAATTGAACAAAGTGTTTGAAGGTGTTAGAAAAGTAGATACTACTAGCATATTTACTGGCGTAAGCAATAGCAAAATGGTCGAGGTATACAGAACGAAGAAGAATATTGTTAAAATAGACTTTGTAAGGAAGAGAGAAACAGAAATATTTGTGGAAATTTCTCACCCATTTACTATAAATACACAAACGTACACAGGATTTCACCATAAGCCGACATCAGTTAGGATGCGGACTGATGAAGAGTTCCAAAGTAGGACGAAACAGCTGTCCAGTACTCCCAGGTTTTCCATTGGTTCTCTAACTGATTTCGACTCATGGTGAAATCCTCCATACAATCAAACAAAGTCCCTACAAAACCAATACTTGAAAATGTACAACTAGTTGGTGACTTCGTCGAAGGGAGAATTTTCATCACTGCAACTGTTTATGGTTCATAATCATATCAAGGTACTCACATGACTTCCTAACTTCATTTATATAGTTCCATCACTTTTCACTTGAATTTCGCTTGATTTGGTTGGTAGTAATATTTTCCATATTTCAGGTATGAGTCATGTGCTCGATACGTCATCAGTAAACATTACTGTATAACACTGTGAGACTTTATTAAAACAAAATTTACCCATAATGGAATTACACTCCACCACAGTGCACAAGTTTTATTCTTATATCAATGTTTATGGGTTTTCTTTTAATTTTTCTTTTTTTTTCCTTCACGTTCTCAGTGGAATTTTCCACATAGGGCTCCAAGCTAGAGGCTTGAAGTTTCTGTAGCAGTGATTCTAATTTTTACAGGATGGGGTTGCTAGCCTCATGCCCAACCTGTCCTCTTTACCAGCATTATCTCTGGCTTAGCGAGGTAAAGGAGTGCGTCTGTGGCTGGGGATCGAACCCCGGACCATGTGCATGGTCGGCGAGCGTCCTAACCGCTATGCCACCGACGCATGATATAACATATTTATTCCAGTTTATTCGATTCCCAGTGGACACACTGGTAAAAGTCGCCTAGCCAGTAATAACTCCTGAAAAGAGGAAATTTTATTTGCGATCCAGACTAGGCTACTCCTCTCTTCATAAAAACAATATCGCCGCATGTTTGAAACTTCAGTGTATGAAATGTGAAGTCCTATGTCCACCCCCCCCCATCCAGAAAGCAGAGAATCGAGAGAGAAACTAAAACGCTTAACTTACCATTCTCCCATGTCATTGTGCTCAATGCTGGTGACAATGTTTCATTGAATGTGTCCACTTCATCTGAGATTAAAGCATATTCAACCGGTGTTGTCTGTTGTTTAATTGAATTATAAGCATATTGTATTTGAGCTAACTTAAGCCTAGATTCCCGCAGAGATTCAGTTTTTTCATACATTTCTAATGTTGAATGAGGTAGACGGCTTTTTAACTTTTCGGGTAATTCGTAAACGATACTTTCAGGGGATATTTCGCCACATTTCGATTCACCGCTAAGCATTAGAAAGTAGTGGACTTCTCGTAAGACTTCAACTAATTGATTATCAAAGTTAACCTCGATTAGCAGTGAATTATTTGGATCACGACGTAATAAGGGTAATTTTAAATTGATATTACATTTCTCTGGAGCTGATTGACAAAATTCTTCTAAATGTTTATTTCGAAAACTGTTATGTATATATTGGACAAAAAACAAAGAAATAAAGAATAAAACGTGAAGTATTCATTGCAATATAAAATCACTAAACTAATTAGATTTGACTTTGAGTTGATCTTAGTTCCTTTTGGAATATGGGGCTTTAACAGCACATTCCTTACTTCATTCTATTCCCTGCCATCACCATTTTGAGTTGTTTCCACGACTCCACATAAGTTCTTATGTCCTCAGTGTCAACCTCGGACTTACTCTCCTTTCGGTTCCACTCAATGAACTGTTGTGTGACGTCACTCAGTGTCTTTCACCATGTACCTGACTCATCCCCATTTTCCTAAGCATGTTTATTGGACGAAAGATTCTTGGCGAATTTTTTCTGGCCCATCATTTGATATTCATTTTGGAGCGTCCGTTGGTTAGTTGTAAGACATCGGTAGGAAGTCCTATCTGACCCAGTTTAAGTGCTTGCAGGCTTGTTGTTGTAACTGTTATGAGGTCACCATTTTGATATTTCGCAATAAAATTGAGACTGAATTAGAGACGCTGAGTTGGATACAGAGGCGCTCGACCAACTCAACAGTATTATAAGACAGCTGCCTATTATACAGCGCACTCCACGTGTAAACAAGAACATACAACGACATGAGGTGGGAAGTATATATTTTAGTATCAGCCACAACGTATTTTACACAATAATGTATGATTTATAATATCACCAATGATATGTCATTTAGTCTACAGTCATGGTAAGTAAGACAGTGGGTGTTATTTTAGGGCGTCAACTCTGACTGGCTTACTTTCAGAATGACCTTAACTACCATATTGCCACCAGGGGATAATACACGGTTTATCTCTCTACATATCACCTACTTCTTTAGAAATAAAGCATTACTTGGGGTCGACCTGGAACAGTACCGTCTATTTTCTGCATTTGGGTGACCGAATTCGAAGGAGTGGTGTGTTGGTGGTTACTTCAGCGTCTGGAGAATTTGTGGCCTCCTCCATTGCATCAGAGAGGGAGAAACAGTGGAACGCTTCAGGACAACTTTTTTGTTTGAGATGAAATAGTTAAGAGTCAACTTTTGATAATGAAGCAACTGGCTCAGGTCTCTTTATTTGAACAACAGACTTAGCATCATCTAGGAACACATTGATGAATTTCTGGCGGGCACGTGCTAATTGGAAACGACGTCTGTGGTGATTTGTTAAGAATGGCCGTTTTGTTGAGTCACTGGCTACAACTATCTTTGTATCCAATATTATTGCAGTTCCGGCACTGGTATTGACTATATGGATAAGATTTGATGGAATGCCTAACGGAAGTCTTGAGGTAATTTCGTATATTTGATGTTATTATTATTTTTGAATAGAACCAGATTGATTTTACGATGAATAACCGTCTTTTTTACTGTCTTTTGAGCGTTTTTGTTGTGACTGTACGTGTCTCAAAGAAGTTTTGGTCACTTGTACATTAGAATTTTAGAGATCGGTTTCCGGCATTCAGAACAAAACGAGTAGTTTTTGGTCGTTATATTCGGTGATGTAGCAGTTCAACCACAAGATGCCACTCCTAACCAAATCATCGTTTCACTGAAATCCTCACGGACAGATTACCGCCAATGTCTTAATTGTTCTCTGTAGACAGGATGTTCTACTGAAGAACCGTTTTTGTTATTTAATTAAAATTTCTACATAGATGCATTTCTGTACAAGGCATTATACATTAGTTCCATATTATTTTGTTGATTAAATGTATCACAGAGTGAAACAGTATTATTTACTGGATGACGCAATTTCGAGCACAATTTATTGTTCATAATCATTTCATCAATTATAATCACATGACTTCGAAACTTGAGTTTTATAATTTTCTTTGTCCTCTCCTATTTGTCGTCGTAGGGGTAGTAGAATTTTCCAGATATCTGGGGCAGGTGTGGAATCATTCCGATTACATGTATTAGCAGTAGATTCGATAAACAAAGCTTCTGATATCAATCTCTCCCTCCATTCACCCTGTGACATTAGGTTTTAAAACTGTCATCCTATCCCATCGTCCTATTGAATGGTTGTGTGTAATTGCATGTAGTGAGTGGTATGGTATAGCTGAACTATTCTCTAGATTTCTTATCTTATTCGGGTCAACTAATCTGGATTTTGCCAGGTTTTATGTTCGGCTAGTCTGTCTGCTCCTGTTCTACTAGTGTGACCTAGGCATTTGACCTGACAATCATTGCAGACAGCGTATTAGATAAACTAAATTGTCTTGTTTTAAAGGTTCCGCAGGATCCCTTAACCGACAAAGCTTGTTTCTATTTGAGTTTGTAGGTTTGAATGCCAGCCACTTTAACTCCTACCTCGTTAAGAATTCTGCATAAGGTTTCCGAGTTTCCTTCCTTGTATGGAATTACCACTGATGATTTAGATTCCTTATTGTTGGTGCTGTCATTATCTTGTGCATATTTGACATGCATGTCATCATTAATATTATTATTATCACTATCACTACTATCACTATTTATTTTGTTTGTATTTTATATGTCCCTACACAGTTTCTGACTAATTTATCAGGGTAATTATTAAGTTTCAAGCTTCACTTATATGCCTCACTTCCTGTCTTAGATTTTATTTGGTGCCATTTAGTTTTTGTGCTCTATTATTCAAACATTTCACCAATCCTATTTTTACTGACATATGATGGAATGATCGGAAGTCCAAATATTTGTTTGAATGTATGGGTTTCCCATAAACACTAGTGTCTAACTTCCCATCTTTTTTTCCTTTTTACGCTGCAATCTAACATTGGAAGTTCCCCGTCCTGACTTTCATAAGTGAATTGAATTACTTCCAACTTTGAGTTAATTTGTATACAATTGGTGGATGGTGGCTAGCAGTGGAATCCAGGATGCGCATTTCGTCCTAATTGGGACTCGTCAACTGGATGTACCTGCATTTCTCAGTGAGTGATGATGTTCCCACCGAGGCTCGAACCCAGTGCCCATAGTTTCAAACGCCAAAGCGTTATCCACTAGACCACTTGGGCCACGAGAGCCACCTCTTGTGCAACGGGTCATATATTAATTATTGAATTGAATTTTTGATTTTCCCGACATGTCAACCTGAGACCGAGCACTTCGGTCCAATCAATCGACGGGAAAATCAAAAATTCAATTCAATAATTTGAGTTAATTTGTTCAAAAAATCTATCTATATACTGTGTTCTGAGTACAGTGAATGTATCATCTGTATACCTCCAGCATACTTTTAGGGTGGGGGTGAACGTTTCAATCGCTATGTTTTCCCACCTATCCACGAATATATCTGCTACAACCGGGGATATTGGTGGTCCCATAGCAACTCCCTCAGTTTGTTGTATATTTTCCCTTGGAATTTAAATACTGTGGAAGTCAGGCATAGCCGCGCTCCCATCATTATGTCCTCAAGTTGAAATCTCGTCCTAAGTTCGTTTCTGACTGCCTCTATAGCCATATTTATTGGTATTTATTAGAAAACTATATCTGGAAAATTCTACTACCCCAACAACGACAAATAGGAGAAGATAAAGAAAATTATAAAACTCAAGTTTCGAAGTCGTGTGATTATAATTGATGAAATGATTATGAACAATAAATTGTGTTCGAAATTGCTTCATCCAGTAAATTATACTGTTTCACTGTGTGATACACTTAAGAAACAAACTAATATGGAATTACTTACGACCACAGTGCCCAAGTTTTACACATATATTAATTATACATTAATGCTTCAATCGGATACTATTTAATAACTAGTACCATGAGTCTACTCGTTTGTTTGGTGCAGACTTAATTCTGTCAGTGTCGAATCAAAGTATCCATTATGGTTCTACAGTAGGTAAGTTGCTAGCCTGAATAACTGTCGCTGACTGCATCACAGGATGACACGGGATTCAAATCTCAGAAGAGACACAAATTCCATCAAGACTGCAAATGCTCCCTGTTGACTGGTGAGTGATACCAAGCGCGAAACAAACCTACGTCAAACAAGGCTTCCTTCCAACTGCTTCCAACCATCTAATAAGAACAATTTTAAATTTGTCTCTCTGTATCTGCCTTCTTCAATCATCAGTTCTTTCAGTGAAATAGACCTTAAGACACACACAATAACACTATATGACCACAAAAATTACAACTTTTGAGTACTTACTCAGATAATAAATCCAGTAGTTCATCTCGCTTTTGTAATAATCTTTCTCCTTGTTCCGATTCTAGGATGCTAAAATAAAAAGACGATTATTTATACGAATTTGCCCATGGATTGGTATCAGTTAGAGGATCATTGAAAACCAGGAAGTACTGCCAGACAGTTGTTTCATCCTAGTTTGGGAATTATCGGTAGTACGCACCCAATTACAAGGCAGGTTCGTAGACCATTCAGGCAGTGGAACCAAATCCATTGGCCAGCCCATGAATTCCAACTTCTGCCAATTCACGATAAATAATATAGCGCAGTCACCAGCCTATGTCATAGGCGAATAACTGTTTTCTTACCTGAATCCAAGGGACCCGCTGGTTAAAACTTCTCTCTAAAACTGTGGCTAACTACTTCTTGAATAGAGCCAGGCGCTACTGAGCATCAAATTAGTGTCTGGATTGATATATTTTAATCATTCTTGTATTAGTTGTATTCTCTCGGCTGCATAGTTCATAGCTGAGTAGCTTTCACTGACTGACACTTACTAGACACTATTTTCAGCTCAGACTTCAGTATGAAGTAGGCTTTTATAATTTTCTCATCTTTAGTACTGAGAAAAGTACCCCGGAAAGTTAAACCAACAAATAACCAATTATGTTGGTTGCATAAGGTCAAGCTTACAAGTTGTCCAATCAGATTGTGATAAAAATATTCTGCTTTAGTCCAATGATTTCATTTGTCCAGACTGGTTTAAACTGGTTTTAAGTGGTTGGCGGTCGCTTCCATTTTATATCATGTAGTCAGTGACAGTCAGTCTGCATATCAGTGAGATGTGCTAACTCCCTGAACTTAAAAATTCATTGCATATTATTATTATTATTATTATTATTATTAGTGAATGATCACTGACCAATTATGACGTCTATAGTTATCTAACCGAAATTTCTCCATCAGTGATTCTTGCCATTCAGAAGGTAGGAGCCAAACAAATGACACTTATACACATATATAGTCTGTTGGAAATATTCTTTGTGACCCGCCCGCCAAGTTTCTGATCCGTATAGAAAGGAGAACTGACTGACTTGACGTTTGTATTGAAAATCCAACCGAATTTTGTTGTTGATGCTGGCTGAGTGACGAAGATTTCCAGATTGGTTGTTTCAGGTTAATGAATGTGTTTCTCGCCTTCCCGATTCTCGCTCAATTTGACATCCTCGTTCGTTCCGTCTATCTGTAGTTGAGACAATGCTCCCTAGATAAGTAAGTGAATGAAGTGACCTTTTTCAAATCCCTCCCGTTGATGGTGATTGGCGCCGGATGTTACTCTTGTATATGTTCACCTGCAGTCCTGTCTTCATTGTCTGCTTCTTCGACCAGTTTTTCGGTTTTCGCTTGTAAGTCTTTGATTTTGTGTGACATCAAACATAAATCATCCACGCGCGAAATCCAGGTCTTCTAGGTTCTTCACGTCGGTCCAGGATATTCCTGTTTGCTCGTTTCCAACTGTCTGATGCACAATCCAGTCCACCACAATTAGGAATCTCATTGGTGATAATAAGAACTCTTGTCTGACTCCTGCGTTTACTCCAAACGCCTCGGTGAGTTTTCCGTTGTGGATCACTTGACATGTTCCGTTGTCGTACATCTGTTGAATAAGGTTGGTAAATATTTGGGCACTGCATGCCGTAGTACTCGAGTAGTTTCCAAATTACTTCGCGGTCAACGCTGTCAAAGGCCTTCTCAAAGTCTATAAAGTTGAGGTAGAGGTTTGATTACCATTCCATGCTTTGTTCTATGATGATGATGCGTAGAGTTGCAATTTGGTCAGTACATGATTTGCCTTTCCTCAATTCAGCCAGGTTGTTCTGGTCGGAGTTCTGTATCCAGGGCGTCATTTATTCTCTCCAGGATGATGCGACTCAGGTTTTTGTTTGAAGTCGACAGGAGCATGATTACTCGCCAGTTCTTGCTGAGTCTTAAGTCGCCCTTCTTTGGTAGTTTCACGAGTGAACCTTTCCTCTAGTCAATAGGCACGTTTCCCTTCTTCCAGACCTTTTGCAATCTCGTTGATTGGCTGAACCGAAATATTTAGCCTCTGTTGATATGTCTGTTCGTTCCACCTACGGAGGCTTCGACGATGTTTGAGGATTCACATGAAATTATTTAGTGCATATTGACTAGCAATGGAATCGAATGATGCGCATTTCGTCATATTTGGGACTCGTCGTTTGGATATATCTACAATCCCCAGTGAATGACCCAAGCGCCCTAGCGGATAACACGCTTCGACGTTTGAGAAAATTGGTTCTCGGTTCAAGTGTCACAGGGGAATACCATCTTCACTCACTATGAATGCAGGTACATCCAGCTAGTTGACGAGTAGTCCCAAATAAGAACCTTGGATTCTATAGCTAGTTAACATTCACTGAATAACATTAATTATTTTCTATATCGTCCAATACTGACTGAGTGTATTACAGGTACCTTGGATGAGTTTGAACACTCTGTTCGGTGACTCTAAAGAATAGGAACCCAAACTGAAACGACCTACGAACGTGAAAACGACCTTGTCAAGGACAACTTCGACCAATCGGAAGGCTCAAAAAAAGCGGCGCATAATTGTAAAAAATAGTTTATATAAAAGTAATGCAATGTTAAAAAACAGTTACAATGGATAACGTTCTCGTATATGTTGCAAAAAAGCTCCCAATTTCTCATAGGTGTCTTTATACTGATGTTAAACCAAGTTCTATACATAAATTCATCAAGATAACTGTATATCATTGGATTTCTAGATCCATTCACCAATCTAATCCGTTTTTTAGGCGACTCCAGAAACTTTCGATCGAATTAGTATGAGTTCCATCCAAAGGATTACGAAAACCGTTTGTGTGGTTGACTACATGATGAATATACTCGAGATTCGACGATTGACCGTAACTGCTTCATTCGTCTGTGTGAATAGTGGTCCCAGGTAGCACTAAGCGCTGGATAATAAGCGATAATAGAGCAGCACTGTGAATTTAAAACGCAAAAGGTGTAGAGCATCCATAATTACTTCTAGAAACAACAGAGTCATCTGATTGATTTCTCAAGGTCATTTGTGCGTTCGTAGGTCGTTTCGATTCGGGTTCCTATTCTTTAGAGTCACCCTGTTCAATGTGTGGGTTAGTGAATTCAATCGTTTTACTATTTACATCGACAGTCTTACATCAACAGACATAGTAGACATCGGGTATTATTCCTCTATACAGTAATGATGTCGTAATATATATAAATACACAGTTATCACTAGGGAATAATAATAAAATTCAAAGACTAACGGATATTCCATTAGTTCTATTGGATCCATAATAGAATTTATACGTCTCAACAGGAGAGTAGACCAAGATATAGCTCCAGCAGCTGGAGGGAATGCTTTCGATAGAGAATGTTTCAACAATTTTGGATTATCAACATTTCGATCTAATATCTGTTTACATCGATCCAATTCATTGTGTAAACTTTCGAGTAATTTATGATAACACGGTTCAATGATTGGTTTAATTCTTGGCCTTTCTAAAAGTGTTCCAAACATTTGAATAGTCTAGCAAGGATAAAATAAGATAAGATAAGATGCAGCATGTAAAGAAGGTTAATTAATGGTTAGTAAATACAACGAAATGTTTATGAATGAATTGAAAACATCTATGATATTTTAATTTTCGTTTGGATCTTTATCTCTGTCTCAGTTTTAGTCCATCTTGTAGATAGTGAACATAAAACGGAGGGTGATATAAATAAGCATTCAAAGTCATTTATCACATTCCGACTAATATTAATTTAGCTTTATGAGTTCGTCTTCGCGATATATAGCTGAATAAAGCCATCAGAATCCACCTGAAGACAGATTTGCGTGTGTGTGCTTAGAAGAAATCTGTGTAGCCACTTTCCTCACCTTGACATTCATGATTACATGAATGTCAAAACCTGACAATTTCGGCCTCCACCTAAGTCTTTTACAAGTTATTATCACTGTCTAACACCATCTCAAATTGTTTATTGCATAATCAACTTGAACACTAACTTATCCCGTAATTACTCTTCATTTTTTCAAAAATTATGTGTTATGCAATCCACTTGTTATAGCCATGTCTACCCTTTGCCGTATTTGCATTTGAAACCACTTGTTCCCTTTATAAATCTCGACAAAGCAATAAGAAGACGTCATTTATCTGAATCGTGTGATGTGTTTGCGGTGCAAGACATTTCGAACAATTTGGTCACACTCCACGTACTTGTCATTCGAATGCAATAAATGACAGGCATCAAGCGTTAGTTAAGTGGTGAGAGAAAAGACGTTCATTGTCAAGTCAAAAGGCTGCCATATTGAAGGTCAAAGCAACATTCGAGAGGGAGGTAATAGTAAATCTGCCCTGGTGTGTATAAAAATAAAGTTTACTAAGGAAGGTGGTTTAGTGTCAGGAAGAATTGTTTCTTTGAACACACAAAGGTGGTTTAAATTTCCTAATATCTAGGGCTTCAACAAACTTTAAGGCACGTCTCAAACACTTTTTATACATAGGTTGAATAAAGGAGATGTTAACATAAATTTTATGTCCTGCTTGTATAACACGTTTTGCAATAGAACAGCTAGGTCATATACTCTCATCAGTAATGAATTCACATGATTATATGGGACTCACATTATCGTTTATTTTGATCTTAGCTTTAACCACAGAGTTCATCCCCTGTTGAATTACCAGGCTGCTGTAACAAGCCATATACGATAGCTTGATATATACATCCTTGTTGGTGGCAATTTGGAGAATGAATCTTGATGTTCAGCTGACCATTTTAAACCTCCTTATGAAGTTAACAAGACAATTATTATCAACCAGAGCATGCGTCAATTATCTCTCTTCATCTTCAAGTATGTCTTGCATGCTTATTGGTTGGATTCTGCTAAAGAGACACCTCAATAAGACTCCGAACAGGAGAGAATCTGTGGTAAGTAAGATATTGTCCTATCCAGGTAGGTTTTCCATAAACACATCGTTTTATTGATCCATCAGACTGTCCGTCGACTAAGTAACATATGTAGGATAGATATGCAATTATCTTCCTCTTCTACAGACATAACCGACATGTTGTTTTAAATTTCAGTCATTCGATTTAAAATTGAAGTGGCAGAACAAGGCTTATCACTTTTGATCAGAATGTCATCGATATATCTTCTAGAAACTGATACATTTTTAATTAGATCTTCCGATAAACTCGTAATGTACAACATATACATATCTACTAAAAGTGGTATGAGCGGGCTTTCCATAGCAACACCATCAACCTGACGGGAGCAGTCACCTTCAAATGTAAACCTAACATTGCTGGTACACAGAAGTAATAAATGCTCTAAATAAGATATAGGGAACGGAACCAGCAAATTATGTGTGGTGAAATGTAATCACACAAAATGTCAGTTGTTTTGAGTAGAGGGACATTCGTGAACATGGAGCCCATCCACATCAAAAGAATACAAGTTATTATTTACAATACTGATATCTCAAGGTAATTAATCAGTATTCAAAGAAACATTTGAACTGATATTTGGAATAATTTTGTGAAATATGTGGGATTAACTAGAGATGAGTGTTTGATTACTCTGCATGACAGTTAATCTCCTAATTATTGTTGCACTACTGATTAGTAGTAAGTAGTATGAGATATACAACGAATAAAGTGGAAGCATGTACTACAATTAATTACCCAACTGGCAGTTGAAATATTCACCAGCATCACAAGCACTTCATCTATACCCTCTTGTGACTTCTTGAGTTTATCACAAAATTAGTCCGCTAGTGTGAACGGGTTTATTTCGAATGTAGCACTCATTGTGTGGTCATATTACACATGATTTGCCTCTGACCATTGTGTGAACCTTTGATAGTGATGGTGTTATGCAGTTGAGGTGGATAGATGATTGTAATGATATTTAAGTTATTGCGTATCGGTTTCGAACTTGTGTCACAGGAAATTTTCAACTCAACTGATATAGTGGCTACCGAAAAAAGCACACCCCATGTGCGTGACCATCGTTCCCGGTACGGGGAACCGGAAGATGTCACTCTCAACTAATCTAGGGTGTGTTTCTTGACATATGCCAACGCCTATGCCCTTATCGCCACACCCACATCTTTGCTGAGGTCTCACATTTTATAGTAACATTATATTATGCTGAAATAAGTATGTCGTTACTGATACTGGTTTCTCACTATTCACCTTGAAACTCCAAGATGTCGACGTTGTACTTGAATTACATTTTCAATCTCACAAAGTTTTAAGGATCAATGAAAACATTAGAATCAGTAGGCCTGATAAAGGAGCCGGAGTAGTACTGATGAATAAGTGTGAGTACGTTTACAAAACCAACTCGCTTCTAACCGATGAATTGAAATTCCAGGAGCTTAACAGCTCAACAGATCTAGACAGAAGAGTAGCTGAAAAGCAGCCAACGACCATGCTTAAACACCTAAGGAAAAGTAGCGTAATCTCAGAGACAGCCTACAACCATCCTAATCCTACTGGAACTAATACTTCACGATTGTATGGTTTGCCAGAAGTACATAAACAGGAACTCCTCTTCGACCAGCCCTAGACACTTCTAAAAAGGCTAGGTGAACTCCCCAAACCGTCGCAGAAGAATGCGGTTAATCAAAGTGTTAAAGACGTCTTTGAATTCATGATGTCAACATAAATGGAAGGCAAATACCAATGTACCGCTTATGGAGACTGTGGAATTCATATGTCAACAGATACTAGAAAAACAGTTCGATATTGGAATTCCACTTATTAGTCTGAAAGAGTTGCTTTTAAAATGTACTATGAATGTACATTTCATATTCCACATCAACCTTTATTACAGATAAATCGACAGTATTGCCGTGGTTCTCCATTGGGTCCAATTTTGGCATATTTCTTTCTCGCTAAACTTAAAAATGGTCCATTGAAACAAGTAATAGATAGCACGCATTCTTTTTTCGTCACCTTGATGATACGTTCATTACTCTTGATTAAAAAAGCTGATAAGAATGAAATGTTATTAGAATTTAAGGATGCATAACCATCGCTCATGTTCACTTGTGAAGAAGAACGTGATGATAGACAAATGTCTACTTCTCAATCGGTGACCAATTATTTTAGAACTATTCGGTCAGCACCTGACCTGATTAAATCTTGAGCTACCAAAATTTTCATCCTACATATTGCATCTATTTCCTCGGATTTATTATATTTTAATCACTCAATTATGTGACCTAATCGTATTGTTTACTCTCGCGGTTATTTAAAAAGTTTTCAACCGGCTGATTTACTAATCTCTAATAAACTTAAGAAAAAGCTTCGTGGTGGATGGCAGCGAGGTACTCTAATGCATTTGATGACTGTTCCTTTGATTATGAGCACAAATTGCAGATCTTTACCGAACAAGATTGATCGGTAGATGAGATTTATTCAGCATTATGGTACTTTTTAACTCATGGAAAATTCCCATTGTAACACAGAAAATCAAAACAGGTGATTCAGCGAAGAGACTCTTTTCAACGAATTTATCATTATGCCGTACAATCGTATATATATATATATATATATATATATATATATATATAAAACTAAAATGTTTGTGATTATAATCATAGTTAAATGTCAAGTGGTAAAGCAAATTAATGTCATATATAGAATAATTCGTAGGATGGATAGAACTTAAAAAAGGGTGTGCAATTACAGGATTAGTAGACAAATCGAATAAAACAAAAACGTTACGTAATATTGTGTGAAATTTAATGGCATAGAATTTATCGCTGTAAAAAAGAGAATTGATTTAGAATAACAAGTGGAACAAGTGAAATAATACCAGGAACAGTTCAAAGTGAGAGTAGTAATAATAACAATTGACGTAATAAGGAAGCGACTACAAATTGAATAGACAAAATGATTTCGGAAGCTAACTCAACTACAACTGAACGAAGCTGAAGCTAACAACAGTGGTAATAAGAGGAAGATCGAGTCGATTGTAGATCTACTGACTGAACAAGCTTCTTCTATATTCAGAGTTAGGGATTTGACATACGAGTGGCTATTGCATCTATGGTTTGAAGAGGTTTGATTCGTACTCGTTTAACAACAAAGTTCCCGTGTATTCTGAAGAAAACTTTGGAGTTGGTTTGTGGAGGCGTATCTGCAACTTTGAAGGAACCCATATCCCTTGTAACTTAAAGTCGCTACCATTGAGCAATTCCAGCTCGTGGTCGACTTCCTCAGAAGGGACATGAGTTCCTTCAAGTTTTCGGATACGTCTTGCTGACTGGTTAGTGCCAACTAGCACGAAACCTAGGTCCAAAGCTTCCTAAAGACTGCCTCCAACTATTTTGTACTAACAATTCACATTCCACCATGATGGTCGGCAACCTAACGTGGTGGCCACATACGATTCAATCTGCACCAAAGATGGGACTAGACACATTACACCAGTCACTGACTAGTGTCCAAGTAAAAAGAAAGCTATCTTGGTCAAACTACCATTGAAGGGTAATCGAACTGTGCATTTTACAG